AGCACCGCCTGACTCCGCCACCATACCAGTCTCGCCTGTCCTGTCTGCCCTACCCGTCTCGTCAGCGCCCCCTGCCCGGGCGAGAGTCGGCGGTGCCTGCGGCACTGCCTTCCGCTGCGCCTGAGGTTCTGGCGCCACCTTCAGCTATGGCCGCCTACAGCCCCTCTGCCTGCAGCTATGCCTGGGGATCCTGCACCAGCCCCACTTCAAGCTGCACCTGAGGCTCTTGCTTTGGCTCCCCCTGCTGGCCATGAGTTGGTGTGTGCTACGGCGCCCCCAGCTGGCCATGAATCGGCGGCGCCTGCTGCTACGCCCTCACCAGCCACTGCTTTGCCCGCAGCGCCCTTGCCTGCCGCTGCTGCAGTGCCTGTCCAGCCCAGCTCGCCTGTCTTGCCCGTCCAACCTGTCTCTCTGGCAGCACCGCCTGCCGCCACGCCTGCGGCTCCAGCTGCGGCTCCGCCCCCTGTTCTGCCCGAGCCTCCACCTGCTGCTGCTCCCGTGGCTCCTGTTCTGGCTTTGCCTGCGCCTGATGCCCCGGCCCAGTATCTGCCTGTCCCGGTCCCTGCTCCAGTCCCCGAGGAGGTCCCAGAGAGTCCGACCACCGCTCCTTCCTCCTTGGAGGAGGAGCTCGAGTGGGACCCCTCGGGGGACCTCCCTTATGACTCCTTTGCCCTTACCCCAGCAAGGCCGACACCCTTCAAGACCCCGCCTTTCTGTGTCCCGAAAGGGGAGGGGACACAAGCGCAGGGCCGGGGCCCCGCCCGCCCTGCCCCTTGGCTCGCCCTCGTTTGCCTTGGCTGGGGCTCGGGGTGCGCCTGCAGGTCCTGCGGCTCCAGGTCAGCTGTCGCCTGCGGGTCCCCCTCCGACGCCTCGTCCCCTGGCCTCGGTCCCGCCTCCAACTCCTCGTCGGTCGCCTGCGAGTCCCCCTGCTCCGGTGCGTTGTCGGACGGCGCCTTCCCCGGATCTGGGTGCCCCGTTGCCTGCTCCGGCTTCCCCCTTGTCCTTGCTTTCGCTGGTGCCCCCTCCGACTCCCTCCTTGTCCCCTTCGTCTGTCCCTCGGCCTGTCTCCTTGCCCCCTGTGTGGTCCCCTCCTGCTCCTGCCTCCCTGTCGCCTGCGGCCCCTCCGGCCGCTGCCCGTCGCCCGCCTTGGCTCCCTCGGGCTCCCCTTTTATCCCCCGTCCGTTCCTGTCTGGCCTCCCTTGTCTGCTCCTCGTCCCTTTGTCCCTCCTGTCTCTGCTCCTCGTCCCCCTGTCGTGCCTCCGTTCACTCCTGGTCCTTTTGTTCCTCCGTTCTTTGTGCCCTCTATTTCTCCCTTCCTGGTCTGTTTGTCTGCGTTCCCTGTTCTGTGTCAAGGTCTTGTCGTGGCTTTTGCCCTTGTGCCTGTTCTGTGTTTCTGTCTTGTTCCTGGTGTCCCGTTGATGATTTTTGCTCTTCGGTCTCGTCTGTCACCTCCCCTGAATAATCATACCTCTGGGCGCGCCTATTGGGGGGGGGGGG